GGAGCATGAGAAGTGATAAAGCAGAAGAACGTTGCAAAAGAATGTTCTTACTACTTGTCAGGTTTTGCAGAACTTGAATAAAAACACCTTTTTTTGTCATATTCGGTGCAGCTGTCACAGCGGCCTGGAATTGAAAAACACACGGCAGAGAATCTGTGAAAAAACGAAACTAAACCTCTAATGCACACTCCTGGAAAAAGCCCTGGAGAATGATCTAACCCCTGTGAGAAGGTACGGTTACTGTGGTAACGAGCCTTCACAAGTGGCCTCAAAGGTAGACCAATTTGTTAGAGTTATGCTTCAACCCTGTTGCTATCATGAGACATATGTTAAAAATAGAGTTTTTACTATAATGAGCATTCTGGGATGACATGGCACACATGATTGCAGCAACAGGAAAAACTTTTTTAAAGCAGGACCAGCTTCCTGAGAACAACACAGAATAGATACTGCTGTTCATTTTTAGGGTAATTAGTTTTCGAACACTTTAAATATCTTTTTCATAGCTTCAGTTATTTATGTTTGTATCTTAAAGAGATTCCGGAAACTTAAAAATGTTGTTTGTAAACCTCCTCTTTAAATGTCAGCCTGCTTTCTAAATGTTCGTTTTTGTTGGTTTAATTTTTTACAGTCATAGGGAAGTCGTATTTAAATGTCAAATCATTCTGGCTTAAACATGTATATAAATCCTGTCTTAAAATCTTTTTTTTTTTTCGTTATCTTCTGCAGGCCAGTTAGTTCTTCGTCAGCCTGAACACCTAAATTCGGCCAATCATTTATCAACGGTCATCTGCCAATCAAATGTTTTCGGTCATAGCATCGTGATTCATATGTCGCAGCTAATATACGCAACGGTTGAAATCAGAATCCTTTCCTTTCCCATTGAGTTGCGTCCCAGTGTTCACGGGGATGGACGTCTGTGTCTTCGGCAGGCGTAGAGCTAACAGAACTGGCAGCGTTGCGAGGCAAGGGCTCAAACATGTACGGCTGGAAGCCTTCTACACCAAACCAAGCTTCTGCCGCCCTGGCGTCCTCTTCCATAACATCTTCATCCCCGCTTTCCTCCTCTAAATAAAAAATGGATGACGGAGGAGACTCATCCACGACCTCCGACACTAAACTCTCCTCCTCTTGCATGTTTCCGCTGTCCATAGCGTTCCTTGACTGCGTCTTTTCTAAGTCACCAATTTAGTGCTACTTGGTCCCAATGGAATTTCCCATTGGGAACCTGCTAGCGCTAAGTTGCTAACTGGTTAGCAGGATGCTTCCGACAAACCGGCCACAACCAAACTTGCTTGCGAACCTTCCGCCACAACAATCCCGCCCCCCCCCCCATTCACTTTATTCACTGGTGTAAAGTCGAGCACCACTCGGATGAAAACAGAAATGCAACACTTGGAATGACCGTTTCCCTACGACTTTAAATTCCCAGCACTGCAAAAAAACTAAATCTAGATAAGTACGGACATTTGTTCTTGAATTGAGGAGGTAAAAGAGACATTGTGCCAATGGAACAAGACAATTTACACTTAAAATAAGAAAACACAATTGCATTGTCTTATTTCAAGTGCATATTATCTAATTATCTTATTTTAAGAGTAAAAATACTCATTCCATTGGCAAACTATCTCATTTACCTACTCAAATTAAGGGTGAATACACTTAATTTAAGAAATGTTTACTTATTTCTAGATCGTTTTTGCAGTGAAGAATCATTTTTATTCTCATCATCTTCAATAAAACCGACTACTGGCTAATGGGGCTGTTTCATTTTGCTAACTAATCTAGATGCACCGCTCCTCAAGCAAATACATAACATTCATCAGATGCAGAAAAATAATCCAAACAGGTCATGGTCTGTCCTGAAGCTTGGAATCTTGACGTTGTGAGTTCGAAACTCACTCCAACAGAGAGCCACATTGAAAAACAATCTCAAAATGAGTAATAATGTCTTAAATTATGGGTATTTACCCTTAATTTGAGCATGTAAAAAAGATGATTGAGTATTTTTACTCTTAAAATAAGATATCTAGATATTATGTACTTGAAATAAGACAATGCAATTGTTTTTCTTATTTTAATTGTAAATTGTCTTGTTCCATTGGCAAAGTGTCTCACTTAAATCCTTAATTCAAGAAAAATGCACTTATTTAAAGAAAAAATGGCTTATTTAGATTTCCTTTTTTTGCAGTGCACTCTGGGTCCCTAAGAGAAAAGGACCTTAACCACCATACTGCTCCCCGGGCGCCGCACAATGGCAGCCCACACTGCAAAAACAATCTAGAAATAAGTCAACGTTTCTTAAATTAAGTGTATTAACCCCTAATTTGAGTTGGTAAATAAGATGATCTGCCAATGAATGAGTATTTTTTTATAAGACAATGCATTTTTTTTGTTCTTATTTTAAATGTAAATTGTCTTTTTCCATTGGTAAAGTGTCTCACCTACCTCCTCAATTCAAGAACAAATGCACTCATTTCAAGAAAATAATACTTATTTAGATGTTATTATCTTGCTCAGGCTACTCGTGAGCACTGCAAAAACGATCTAGAAATAAGTGTATAATAAGTGTATTTATCCTTAATTTGAGTAGGTAAATACAATGATTTTCCAATGAAATTAGTATCTTTACTCTTAAAATAAGTTAATTAGATAATATGAACTTGAAATAAGACAATGAAATGTTTTTTTCTTATTTTAAATGTAAATTGTCTTGTTCTGTTGCCAAAGTGTCTCACTTTCGTCCTCAATTGGAGAAAAATGCACTTACTTCAAGAAAGAATGACTTACTTATATTTCCATTTTTTGCTGTGAGCCCAAAGCCCACCAAATGTTGAAAGGGGAATATTATTACCATTACTCTTAGGGATGGGAATCGAAAACCGGTTCCTGTTCAGAACCGGTTCCGTATTTTCCGATTCCATGGCATCGTTTGGCAGCTCGCTGAACGATTCTTTCTTCGATTCCCGCAGCACCAGAGCCTAAAGCGCTGGCTCTTAGGAGCACGACTTACGTCACGTTTTTTACGCAAGTTACGCACACGGCGTTCAGTAAGCAAGTACGACGTGACTGGGCAAAAAAGGAAAGCCAAAAAATGGCGCCACACCAAGTAAAGAGATCAAAAGTTTGGCTTCATTTTAAAAACGAAAAAGATGGCAAGAAGGCTCTTTCCAATCATTGAAAAGCAACAATTTCAATCGCGGGAGGAAATACTTCGAACATGCTGAAACACCTCCGCGCACAACATGGGATACATTTTACTGAGTGCCGTGTTTTTGATGGCTTCCGGAAAGAGGCTAAAATTTCTACAAGAACGGAAGGCAAGTCTGGTAAGGGGCAAGTTTTACATCACTGGCTATGCTTAATGTTGTTCCTGGTATATCATATCCCATTTCTATACATAAAGTCTTTTCCTACCTCTCTTTGGGGTTATAAGGGAGTGTGCCTTTGTCGTTAATCCAGCCCTTCATTGCTAGCATGTTTTTTAATTAGAACTACTGGTAGCTGGAATTCTTACATGATTCTAGCTGTTGCAGTGGATGTAACGTAACACGCTACAAAGTTGCTCCGCAGTTCAGTGAGGGAGAGAAAGGTGACGCTTGTTTATTTAAATCAGGGGGAGATGAGTTTATTTATTATTAAGTTTGTTCTTGTATTCATTTTTCATTTAAACACAGATGTTACTCCAGTTTCACATTTCCTGTGGACATCTTGATCTTGTTGAGTTTGTAAGATGGTGCAATAGTTAAGTAAACAAAGTTGATGCTGATAATCAAACTGTTTGTTCTCCTTTTTTCCCCAAATTGGAATCGATAAAGAATCGAATCGTTTCATAGAATCGAAAAGGGAATCGGAATCGTGAAAATCTTTTCAATTCCCAACCCTAATTACTGTTAATATATAGTTGAAGTTTTAGACATTCTGCCCCTCATTCGCCCTAAATCAAGTTTTTTTTTGGACCCAAATGTTGCTTAAAAAGCATTGCAATAAAATCCAGAGGTTTAATGCATAAAGGTTTGATTTAAACATCAGGTGCTGATTTTTCTTCCTTTACCGATTACATCATTTTTATGACAACTTTCAAAGGCTTTGCAGTAACTGATGTTTATTAAAGTGATTTTGTTTAATTTTTTTATCCATACTTTAGGCTAAAAAATAAAGAATTTAGTAGACATTTGCAATTTTGTCACATTGTCCTAAATAATATTAGGGGAAAAAATACGTTGGTTATAGAAAGATGCATTTTAAAGAGTGCCTTGGTTTTGGATTTTTAAAAAAAAAACTTGCCTAAAGGTTTCAAAGAGTAAAATTTCAAGAATCAAAAAAATGCCGCCCATTTTGCACTGCTGCATATTTCAATATATTATCATAGATTATTCAGCATTTCCTCTCTCCTAAACCCCAGCTCCCTCTACACATTCACTCTCACTAATCTCACGGTGCAAAACAACATGGACACATATATGCCCCCTATACAGTTACGCAATCAGCCTATATTGTTGTCAAATATGGCTGTAATTGACTGGAGTGCAAAAGAACAGCGCTATCACAGAGTCTAGTGTGTCCTACGGGTTGTTGAGACCCGTGTTTAATTAGATCAATCAAATACTTGACGCTGAGCCTTCCATCATTCTGGGAAACTAAGGTTTTGTTCTCCTGCTGCAGTTGAAGCGAGGTGAACAAGGAAATTTATTAGGATTTGCACTAAGAAAAAAAGTGTCTGCCATGTGGAGCTTCAGGTTTGGCACTTCTAAAAGCATATAATGGAGCTTTTACTGTTCATTTGTTACCTTATCGATTTATATGTAGACTGATATCTACCTCCCCTGATTGCATCTAAGGCAGGAATCGAATCAAAAACACATGTGGGGCCGCTGCAAATGTATTTTTTATGCTTTCCTGATGATGTGACCGTGGTTCTGTGCAGGGTTAAAGGGATTACATTTGCCCCGAATTACATCTCCCTGGCACAGGCATGGAGGAAATGTGGTTAACCGTACCTTTACAATGTCTTCATTCGACGACTTGCACTGCACAAAGGTCGAGACGTCCGTGACTGCCCCGCTCATCTCTATGGAGACCATTTTGACGGGAATGGCCACGGTGCGTCCGGTAAGAATGGCCGTGTTGATGATCTCCGTGTCCTGTGGGGAGGGAGAAAATAGAAATGGCATTCATGACACAGCGAGAGGCGATTTCTTTCCTTGATACTGTATTTCATCAGCGCGGGTCCACGTTTGAAAAAAACATTAGCACTGCGGCCCCGTGCCGTCCAGGTGACGCTCTCAGTGCCAGATCACAGCTCATTTCGGAACACTTAAATATCTTTCCTTGGATTTCATCAACTGACATTTTTATTTCACAGGCACTTTTCTCCCACTGAGTGAGTGGAAGTAACAGAAAATGAGATTTGAAAGGACAGAAAAGTGTTCCCCTTAACTTTAATCATTCAGGAAAGTCATTTAGAGCCATATGCTAGGCTTAAAATTCAGGAGAGGCATATAGAGCAGCGCTGCAGAGGCCAAGATGCATCTAACCTTTCTATGATTGGAATTAAAGCACTTCAAGGCTGTTCATATTGTCCTAACATGATTGGTCAGGGTTTATAATGCGTCTCCTTCTTTCTCACACGGTGTGCTTTATTCTGCCTATTCAATACGTTTTTCCATCATTCATCATTTCAGTTGTCCCTAAACTGACAATGATTAAGTGAGTACATTGAGGAGGGTAATAGACGGCAATTTTCAAAAAGAAACTGCAGGAAAAATGCTTTGAGTTTGAAAGCAAATGGAGCGGTATTGACTTTTTAAAATTTGAACTTGTGTTAGAAAATGAAATTCACCAATCTCCGTGTTCTCAAAGCACCTCCATGGTGAAAAACTTCAACTATATAACATCTCTAGATTCATATATTTTGACAAGGCAAGGACTCAGTGTTTTTTAATATTAGCTTCAGGTCTTACTAGCCAGGGCGCCATTCTATCAGGTTACTGTTTTCCTGATTATGAATTAAAAAATGCTATAATAAGTATCCAGTGATAATACACTAAATAAAGTAAAAACAAATTTGTTTTTTCCATAAGTGCATCAGTAAATGTGTTTTCATAATATGATTGAATGCAATATTGGTGTGCTGTTAAATAAAAAGGTTGCTCCCCATGTAACTAATGTGCTAAGGTATTTATCTTTCTGCACACAGTTGTACTTCTGAAGGTCGACATGTTTGCAGCTGCATAAAACAACTGTTTTTTTTTTCTATTTTCACTGCAATAAATATACACTATATTGCCAAAAGTATTTGCTCACCCATCCAAATTATTGGAATCAGGTGTTCCAATCACTTCCATGGCCACAGGTGTATAAATTCAAGCACCTAGGCATGCAGACTGTTTTTACAAACATTTGTGAAAGAATGGGTCGCTCTCAGGAGCTCAGTGAATTCCAGCGTGGAACTGTGATAGGATGCCACCTGTGCAACAAATCCAGTCGTGAAATTTCCTCGCTCCTAAATATTCCACAGTCAACTGTCAGCTGTATTATAAGAAAATGGAAGTGTTTGGGAACGACAGCAACTCAGCCACGAAGTGGTAGGCCACGTAAACTGACGGAGCGGGGTCAGCGGATGCTGACGCGCATAGTGCGAAGAGGTCGCCAACTTTCTGCAGAGTCAATCACTACAGACCTCCAAACTTCATGTGGCCTTCAGATTAGCTCAAGAACAGTGCGCAGAGAGCTTCATGGAATGGGTTTCCATGGTCGAGCAGCTGCATCCAAGCCATACATCACCAAGTGCAATGCAAAGCGTCGGATGCGGTGGTGTAAAGCACGCCGCCACTGGACTCTAGAGCAGTGGAGACGCGTTCTCTGGAGTGACGAATCGCGCTTCTCCATCTGGCAATCTGATGGACGGGTCTGGGTTTGGCGGTTGCCAGGAGAACGGTACTTGTCTGACTGCATTGTGCCAAGTGTAAAGTTTGGTGGAGGGGGGATTATGGTGTGGGGTTGTTTTTCAGGAGCTGGGCTTGGCCCCTTAGTTCCAGTGAAAGGAACTCTGAATGCTTCAGCATACCAAGACATTTTGGACAATTCCATGCTCCCAACTTTGTGGGAACAGTTTGGAGCTGGCCCCTTCCTCTTCCAACATGACTGTGCACCAGTGCACAAAGCAAGGTCCATAAAGACATGGATGACAGAGTCTGGTGTGGATGAACTTGACTGGCCTGCACAGAGTCCTGACCTCAACCCGATAGAACACCTTTGGGATGAATTAGAGCGGAGACTGAGAGCCAGGCCTTCTCGTCCAACATCAGTGTGCGACCTCACAAATGCGCTTCTGGAAGAATGGTCAAAAATTCCCATAAACACACTCCTAAACCTTGTGGACAGCCTTCCCAGAAGAGTTGAAGCTGTTCTAGCTGCAAAGGGTGGACCGACGTCATATTGAACCCTATGGATTAGGAACGGGATGTCACTTAAGCTCATATGTGAGTCAAGGCAGGTGAGCAAATACTTTTGGCAATATAGTGTATAACCTGACTCCGCCAGATGGATTTGCTCCGCATATCCATCTGGAAACCTCCCTTTGAAGTAATTTTGGGAAGGGGCGAAAATACTGGTTAGCTGATTGGTCTATGTTGGTGATAGACGGGCCAAATAAACCAATCAGATCAACGAAGCATATGATGTACTAACAGAGCGACGACGAAAACACAACCACAAGCCAGGCTACTCTTGCCGAAACCAGTCGGGAGAAGAGCAAAAACATCTTTTCCTCTGAGAAAAGATGTTTTTGCTCTTCTTTCAGTGAAGAAATACTCTGTAATTCCGATAAAACTTGCTCGATAGCCACGCTAACGCTAGTTTCATCGGCTGAAGCCGCCATGTTCTTTAGACTGAACTGTCGCGCTTCTCGTTGCGTCACACGTCAATCCACCTCAAAGCCAACGCTGATTGGACGTTCGTTTGGTGAACAGCTCCAAATTTTCTTTAACGGAGAGTCTCCAGGCTGATCTGCGAGTGAAACCTTGAAAGCTCGCGAGATCAGGATGGTCTCACGAGGTTAATAAATACCAGGAATAATGTACCAATGGTCCATATCCAAAATCCACAGATTCTGCACCCTAAGGACAGAAAAAGGGGGGAGTCAATGTTCTGCTAGCTGCACTCAGAATGTGTTAGCTGAAGTTTTAGTTTTTATACGATTTATTCATTTATTTATAATTAAAGGGCCAGGTATGCCTTTTTTTTAAATATATAAATTGTTTATAGAAAGAAGAGCACCATTAAGTCAGGGGCAAGTCCTTGTGGGTTTAGTATTCAGCTAGTTGTACCCTGAACAAGTCTCTCTTGTTCCAGTCTCCTTCCTTCCTTCCTTCCTTCCTTCCTTCCTTCCTTCCTTCCTTGCTTCCATCCATCCATCATCCATCCATCCATCCATCCATCCATCCATCCATCATCCATCCATCCATCCATCCATCCATCCATCCATCCATCCGCTAAGACGAGGAGATACACAAACCCACTCACTCCAAAAAGGAACTTCTTACATCTTTAAACCCCAAACCCGTACACCCAAATGTTCTAATCATAATTATGAGATCAAGCTGCAAACATTGCTGTTGAATATTTTAGTCTTTAGACTCTTTGAAGGCATCAGTCATCTTCTAGAGCTTTATCTGTTGGAGCTGCAGCTTATCTATAGTCCAGAGGAAGCAGTTAGATCAGCTCATTACAAGAGTGGGCTCTGTCCCAGGATGATCCCTGGACCCAATGCAGGAAGCCATAGAACAGAGGTAATGGACCCACCTGCTGGCAAATCCGGACCCAACCTGATTTAAAACATTTATAAATTTCCGCATGTTGTCTAACCGCAGTGTCTAAATTCACTTGCACCGCTTCTCCTGGTAATACGGTAAAGCCCAGGGGAGCGTCCGGCTCCAGGCTGCACGTGATCCAAATGAGCCAATGAGCTGTCAGTCTGGGTTGCTGCTGCTGCTACTTTTAGACACTGCAGGCAAACCTGTGGCAAGCCGGGCGATGGGAAAGAAGGAGAAGACCATGAGAAAAAGAGAGCAGAGAAAGTGTGGACTGCTGGAAGAACTGCGGTGAACTGGTGAAAGAAAAGTGAAATGGCGTGCTCAAAGATGACCCTGCACATTTAGAGGATGTTTGGCTCAACCTGCTGCTGTGAAGCAGGATTCTCCACCATGAACAGAATCAACAATAAATCTGGATCCAGGCTCAAAATGAGCACCTTGATATGTGCTTGAGAATGGCTTAGTCTCCGGTTAAACCCAGGTTTAAAGCCTTGCAGGGCAGCCTAAAGCCCACTGCCAACATTAGGACATAATAAAACGGTCAGGTCAGGTGTTTTATGGGTGTGAATCCGGATATTATCTATATATCAAACTAAACAATTGTTGTTCTCTAAATAAAAAAACACTTTAGATTTAACAATGGAAACATTTTCATTTTTTGTATAACATGGATGCATAAACACCTGAATTTATTTCAGTGTTAAATTCAGTTTAAAGTAACAGATGATAATTAAAAATGTCTCCGGACCTTTACTGGTTGATGATTTTCTTTATTTGGACCCTGCTGGTTGCCATAGCAGAACTGAAAGGTTCCCTCAGCAACAGGCTGCTGAATCCTTGGTGCTCAAAGGATCATTATCACAGATCCTACTTGCCAGCAGCTGTTAGACGTTATAACTATTTATAACCCTAGGTTTAACGGTTATATAACCATGATTATACCTCTGCTATCAATTCCAGTTTTTTTAAAATTTCTTGCTAATACAGTATTATACACTCACCGGCCACTTTATTAGGTACACCTGTCCAACTGCTCGTTAACACTTAATTTCTAAGCAGCCAATCACATGGCGGCAACTCAGTGCATTTAGGCATGTAGACATGGTCAAGACAATCTCCTGCAGTTCAAACCGAGCATCAGTATGGGGAAGAAAGGTGATTTGAGTGACTTTGAACGTGGCATGATTGTTGGTGCCAGAAGGGCTGGTCTGAGTATTTCAGAAACTGCTGGTCTACTGGGATTTTCACTCACAACCATCTCTAGGGTTTACAGAGAATGGTCCGAAAAAGAAAAAACATCCAGTGAGCGGCAGTTCTGTGGGCGGAAA